TGATATTCGAGTATTTCCAGGTCCGATTCCCATGAGGGTGTGGATGTACACTTAGTTAGGGGGCAGCTGGTTGTCAGTAGCAATGTGCGTGTTTCATTTGATCAGTGACGAAATATTTTTCCGAAACCGTTAAAGTAGCGAAGAGTAGTACTGAAAATGATGAATTGTTATTCCACAGCCTTACTGATCAATTCTGCAGCGACCTAGACTAGTTTAGCGATACAATAATTCATTCCTCTGGCTATCGAGGGGACATGGAAGCTGAAGTCCGAGCTCTTTTTTTCATTTTTGTGACTTCAACACGTTTATCATCAAAAATCATCATCAGAAATCTTCTGCATCATCCTTATCATCTTCAAATAGTTCGTTAACAGGAAGTGACGCTACGCATTCACATAAAAGTGAATGTTTAGAAGTTCACAAGAAAAGTAACGCTTCGACAAGTAAGAAACATCATCGTAAACAATATGCTTCTTCTTTTTCAAGTAGTAGTAATGATGATGATTCGTATTTCGGTGGGAAAGAGATAACTTCAGAATCCCGAAGAAAGAGAAAATCAAAAAGAAAATTCTCTAATTCTTCTTCTTCACGATCAACTGTGCCCGCTTCACCGGCAACTTTGCAAGTTACCATTAATGATTCAATTACTCGTTTCAGTGGTAAAGCGAATGAGCAGCCTAATAAGTTTTTGCATGAGTACCAACAGAAAATGCGAACGTTGTTTCGGGCTGGTGATTCGCAATTGCTGCGAAATATTAGTAATTGGCTCACAGGTGCAGCTGGTGACTGGTATTTACAGCTTTCTCAAAGTCATCATTTGCCGGATATGTGGCATGAGTTTAAAAAGTTGTTCTTGTCTCGTTTTCGTAGTCCTGAAAGGATAGAGGCTTTGAAAATTGAACGTAGCCGTTGCGTTCAAAAGGAAAATGAAACAGCAGCTGATTTCTATCAAAGATATTTGGGATTAAATTTGGAAATTAATCCAAAACCCAAAGAAAATTTTTTAAAAAGATATTTTCTTCGAAAATTGAGACCAGAACTTGTTCTTTGGATGAAGAAGAAATTCAGCGATCTCTGCCTAATAGATGAATTTCTACGAATTCTGATTACGATAAGGATGAAGGAAACCCTCAGGAATTTACGACATCGTTAACTCGGCAGCTGGTGCGATTGAAAACACCAGAGAGAACAGTTGTTGTTGCTAATCTTGACACACCGTCTTCTTCGTCAACTAATTCTTCTGGTCAGGAGAACCATGCAGCTAAATCTCCTGTTTTTCCAACAAATAACGATAGAAATCGACCGGCTTTTCCTCAAAATCGGCAAACAAATTTTTATAGACGAAATAATAATAATAATAATAGCGGAGGTCAGAATAGTAACAATAACAGTTTTCGTCTGCCTTTTTCTACTAATAACTCTGTCAATTTTAATCGTTCAAATCCATCAGCGGAAAATCGTAAAAGAGGACCGGCAGGACCATGTCCAATTTGCCGTAAAAATGAACACTGGAGAAGAGATTGCAGAGTTCCTTGCACTATTTGCAGAAAAACCGGACACAGTGCAGATTATTGTTTCCAACAAAGAGGCAACACTCAGCTTAGTCCATCTGCCGCACCTACTTTTTCCGGCGGTGATTCACAAAATCTACAGAATCCTAATCATTTAAACTGAAAAGGGAGCAGCTGATTGAGGATAAGCTGGCATCCCATACTATTCATAAGTCCTCAATGGAACAGTCCAAAGAACAGGGAAAAATCGAAGCCTTGAAATCCTTATCGCGGCTTCTAAAGCCCGGTCGTGATGGAGAAGAGGTCTCTCGACCTATTGTCGATTCTGCATCGTCGCTATTTTCTTCTTCTTTGTTAGAAATGTCGAGAACTCCGGCATCACCTAAATCAGCGGCTTTTGAACAAAAAATGGGGACGAATTTAACACTTATTGAGAATTTATTCACAGAAAAATCACCTGACTCTAGTTTTTCTCAAGCGGAGACTTCTTCTTCTTCGTCATCTGTATCTAATGCGACGACCGTTCCGTTATCAACTCCAAAAACAACAGTATCTAATCAAAATTATAATTTATCGGATAATTTCAAGCGTGAAAAGACCAGAAATTATAGAAAACAAAAGAGAAAACTAGAGAAGAAGGAAAAATCTACAGCTGGAAAGGATTCTCTCTTTAAAACAGAATCTAAAGGCTTTGCTGCTGCGGTGTTGAAATTAGAAAGCAAGATAAAAGAGAATGCTACTTCTTCTAATACTTCAACTTGCTTTTATACCATCAAAAGAGGTTGTGCGTCCGCCAAAGGAAAATTACTTGGCACCATAGGCATCTTTACCTTAGATACAGGTGCTGGTATTAGCATTGTCAGTTTAGACTACTGGCGGCTTTTAAAAGGAACTGAAGCTGTTTTCCCTTATTCTGGAGCTGATATTGTAGGCCCAGAAGGCAGTTCTATTGAACCAATCGGCTGGGTTGAAGCTGATATTACTTTAGCAGGACCAACTTTCAGTTTTGAAGGAATTTTAAGTACACAAAACTCCTTATGATACCATGAAATCCCTCTCACAGAAAGCGCGGGTGCACTGATCGCACTGTTCCACGTTCTATATGAGCAGTCCAACATGTGCAAGATTGTCATAGGTATCCCAGGTGAAATTGCACTACATTTTGCTGCCTTCATCTCCTAGCATAATACCGTTTTTCCTTCGCAAAAAATGATCAGAAGATAGCTGTATCCAAAATTTAAAAAGTACTTGAGTCTTTCGGTTGCTACAAAACTCGTCGGCGGAGTTAAACCGGGCGGGGCGACGGAACGAAGTGTCGCGAATCTCTGAACAGCAGTGACGGCAAACTGACACTAGTTCAGTTCGGAGTTCTGACACCAGTTCCCTAGAGTCCGTAGGGCAGCATTCTTGGCCCGATTTTATTTCTCATCTTTATAAATGACTTTGCACCATCTCTTAAATCTTCTCTTCTCTCTTGTCTTTTTGCTGATGATGTCGTCTGTGTTACAAAGATATTCGAGGCTCAAAAATGTGAATAGAACAATGACATTGTTCTATGACGGTATATGAATGAGGTCAAATTAAACATAAACAAATGTCTCTGGATTTTATTTTCAAACTCTAGTAAAATGCTTGCTTCACTCACTCTTTCAATCACCAACGTTGATATAGAAAGAGTTCTTTTTAACGTTTAAGGATCACATTGAATATGTGTCAATGAAATCTCGTCAAATGTTAGGCACTATGTCAAGAGTCTTTCGTGACTCGCCCTCATTTCTTCGTTGTCATCTATATAAAACTTGTGTATGAACCGTGCTCGAATACGGTTGTGTTATTTACGATTGCACTTTTACTTCTCATCTCGAAATTTTGGATAAAATTCAACGTCTAGCCAGAGGAATAATTATTTAAATTTTAGTAGTTCTTCTCTAAACAGACAATTTAAAATTCAACCACTTTCAAACAGGCGTCTATATTATCACCTTCCCTATTTCTATAAAACTTTCAGTCATAAAAGTTCTCTCTCCTCATTTGATCTGCTTTTACAGTCAACAATGCGTCAAAGTTCTCGATTAGGCCATGATACTCGCGTGTTTATTCCTCGCTTAATGTCAAAATCTGCATTCAGCTCTTTTCTTCCGCAAACATCAAAAGATTCGAATGAACTTCCTTCTGGTTTAGCCTGTCACACTCCTTAGCCACATTTAGAAATATGCTGAGAGGTTACACAGGCCTTTAATAATGTTTATTTTTAAATTTTTCGTTATCGGTTATCACAAGATATCCACCGATGCCACAAGTCCGATAACACAGAAGACATCAACAGCAAAAAGACAAGAGAGAAGAGAATATTTAAGAGACGATGCAAGGTCATTTATAAAGATGAGAAATAAAATCTGGGATCACCTGGGATACCCATGACAATCTTGCACATGTTGGACTGCTCATTTAGAACGTGGAACAGTGCGATCAGTGCACCCGCGCTTTCTGTGAGAGGGATTTCATGGTATCATAAGGAGTTTTGTGTACTTTAAATTCCTTCAAAACTGTCCGTCTTTGAAAAAGAACGATGAGGGGTTCATGAATAGGAATGAGTGGGTGAAAGCGTAGGTTTAGGGCTGACCAAGAGTGTTCCTGCATGTCTACGACTCTCAGAATCATTGTTGTGAGGCTCACTAATTGTCTTCGCAGATTTAGCACAGATATGGAGAAGCTTTCTTCCTTACGAGGGAACATTCCGAGGTGAAGTGCTCCTTTTTCATTCATTCTTTCGTGATTCGATAGGGCATCGGGTGGAGGTAAAAAGTCTAAGAGGGTTAGGGCAGAGACTTTTCCCTTGAGGAGTTAAGGGGATTTTACGTGTATCCCCAGCGGAAATCAGGCAGAATGAAAGAAATTGCCGTTTCGTCCAGGAAAGTTGTAGAGGGCTGAAATATCTTTGCGTCGTGTGGCTAGGGGTTCTCGTTATACCCCAAAAGTTTCAGACCCCTATCACTTCCTCTCAAAGAGTTGTTGCACTTTTCGTACAGAGAGGAAAACCCAGTGTGGCACTGTGGTGGTGTGTTCTATCTCTTTTAGCGGAAGGCCATGCTGACTTGGTTTGATCATTTTCTGCGTCTCGAGAAGTGATGTGCTCGATGTGGAAAGAGAAAGACTTTTATTACATTCCTTATCTCTGACACAAAAGAAAGAGAGAGACAAGTAGGGGGGTCTTCCTTACTCTTTTTCTTCGGTCATCATTAGGAACTTTAAGTAAAACTAAAGAGCACCTCCAGAATGATCAATCCTCATAACGTTGACCGTATCCTATCAACCAACATAAGTAAACTTTTCCCAGCTAACCATTTCTTTTGTACATAATAAACGTGTCGAAGTCACAAAAATGAAAAAAAGAGCTCGGACTTCAGCTTCCACCAGCACAGTGTACGAAAAGTGCAACAACTCTTTGAGAGGAAGCGATATGGGTCTGAAACTTTCAGGGTATACCGAGAACTCCTAGCCCCACGACGAAAAAGTACTTCAGCCCTATCCTGGACAACACGGCAGTTTCTTCCATTCTGCCTGATTTCCGCTGGGAAAACGCGTAAAATACGCGTAACTCCCCAGGGGAAAAGTCTCCGCCCGAACCCTATTAGGCTTTTTACCCTAAAGGAGTGCTTCACCTCGGGATGTCCCCTCGTTAGCCAGAGGAATGAATTATTGTATCGCTAAACTAGTCTAGGTCGCTGCAGAATTGATCAGTAAGGCTGTGGAATAACAATTCATCATTTTCAGTACTACTCTTCGCTACTTTAACGGTTTCGGAAA